TGTGGATATTTTTTTCCAATCGGAAATGAGATCTGTACTCGTCCAATAGGAACTGGTGGGAGAAATTAGTAAACCCCAAAAAATAACAAGAAGAAAAAAATCTATGATCATATGAGCTTTCACGATAAATATATATATCTTGCACCGCATAACCATCAAATCATAAAATATCAAATAGTCCATGCCATATAACCGGCCGCGAAACCACCAGCATGTGCTATCTCTAGTAGAGTGTCCAGAATTCTGCAATTGCAAATTTTGCGGTGAATTTGCCGAATTTGCCGAGTTCACCGGAATTATCGAATTTGCAGAATCCGCAGTTATTTGGTGTATTTCTTATTGGTCATATTTGTATTGATGATACAGAATTTGTACATAACTTCTATTGATTCTCTTAAGTCAATCAAAATTCTCTGCATAAAGCTGCTTAATAATATCGGTAGTGCTGGCCAAAATAGTTGCAAAGTCTGTACACTTATGTGCGCCCTAATCTCTAGTCACACACGAAATTTTGCTCTTAAATGAAGCTGAACGAACTGAACGAAGCACTTGTTTGATAATAATATGGCTAACTATTTTTGAATACAACCAAAATGTTATTATTTAATATATAAAATTGATCCTGCTTCAAAAATAACTGTCCTATAGAATATAAAAGGTTAGTTTCTACTTTTGATTCTTATTTTGTAAATTTTGACAATAATTCTTTTTTCTTAATACAGTAATATATTATTTACATACATATCAAAATTTGACTGTTTAAAAACGAACTAATTAAATTTACATGATCCATGCCATTGAAATAAAAACTTATTGAGGATTAATGGGTATAGCACACGGTTGAGTAATTTGCTATATTACGATGAATAATAATAACCTATTAAACAAAACATGTTAGTTATAACAATGGCTTACGTAAAAGTCAATTTGTTTGTTGATATATTAACACCATAATGTTTTTTTTTTAATATTAGTATTTGATCTTTTAGAAAGGACTGAAACATGTTTAAAAAAAAATAATATAAATAAATTGGATTATAAACAATTTAGTTGCCGGGAAAATATTGGCCGTGGGGGATCCGCTATAGTATACTCGGCGATCTTCGAAGAAAATAAGTACGCATTAAAATGCCTAAATAACAACATATGCATGGACGAAAAAACTTTTCGAAAATTAATTCGTGAGGTATTGCAAGTTATTTTTTATTTAATACTTTGTTTTATGAGCATTAAAAAAAAACAAAACAATCAAACCTATTTTGTAATAAATAATTATGCATAGCTTGAAATTCTATCCAATATCAATCATCCTAACGTCATCAAGTTATATGGGGTTTCAATCGGTATAGTATTAATACTGATATTTCTGAATATTAAACCATAATTTAATTTGCGTATTTATTATTTTAGATCCAAAAACAAATAATTTCATGATGGTTTTGAAATATGCTAATGGGGGTCCTTACGGAAATATTTACAAGCAAAACAAGATAATGGCCGTTATATTATTTCATTTGCTGAACTTTTCAAATTTGCAAAGGAAATTGCCAGTGGACTAGAATGTTTGCATGCTAATAAGATCATTCATCGAGATTTGGTAACTATAAATTTCGGTTTTTACTCTAAAATTTGTATTAATAATTCGAAATTATTTATTATAAGATTTCTCTAGCATTCTAGAAATATTCTGATAAATGATGATCAAGCCATTATTTCAGATTTTGGGATTTCCAAAATTTTTGATGATATATCTTCGTGTTCAAATATTCAAGGCATAATAGAATATACTGATCCTCAATATCTTATGAATGAAAAAAATTTTAACCGTAACGAAAAATCGGACATTTATAGCTTAGGTATATTATTCTGGGAGCTCACAAGTGGAATTCCTCCGTTTAATAACCTACCCTTATTTGAAAAATGTATAAAAATACTTAAATGCGAGAGAGAAAAGGTTATAGCCCGATGAATTTGCTAATCTCTACAGAAAATGCTGGTCGTTCGACCCAGAGCAACGTCCAACAATAATTGAAGTTTTAAAACCACTTGAAAATTTATCAGATAAAAAAATTGATAACTTCATTATAAATCCTATCATTGTATACGGGAAACCTACCATTGTGGGTATTCCTTCCAATGTTAAAATCAAGATTTTCAGTTTTGTTACGTTTCCCCTAAACCTTATTTTGTCTTGTAAAGGTTGGTATGAGATTTCCAAAGACAGTAAATGTAAAGCTGAATGGCTCCTCAAACAATTCGACCGGGCCCATTCGTTATTTCACGTTATTCGTTTAGGACCACCCTTTGTTAATGTCTGTGTGGTTCAAGAGATTTTAAAAAGGGGTGGGCTAATTTCGAGATATTTTATTCAGAAACTTTTATTGCATTACGGAAAACCAAGAACGGAACACAACATGGAAAATATAAGAACCAAAAGGAATGCTGTTCCTTGGGCAATTGACACGCCTTTGCCAGTATATACTTATATTCTGAATGATGCTACAAATAAATATATATATTCAGAACCGTGGGACAGTAATAACGATATGGAATTATTTATTTCTTTAAGTGGAGGTCAAGACATTTTACATACCGAAGAAACATTGATCAAGAATTTAGAATTGATCAAAGAGTTGATTTCAAAATTGAAGTTTGTTCCATTTCCTCAAAGACCAAATCACAAGCAGCCATATGATAGAAACTTGGATAAATACTCATCAGAAGACGGCTATGGAAATTATAGAGAAGTAAGAATAATAGCTCAGGCAATCTTAATTTGTAAAGAACTAGTTCATACCTGAAAAGATATTGGTTATCATGATATTGTGTATGATGTAAATGACTATGTCATTCAGGGAGCTTTTCTCTTGTTATTTCCCTCTGAGTCAAGTGATTATGTTATGCCCAATGAAAAAAAAATAATAGAAAAGCTTCAGGAATTGCTCGATTTGGGATTTAAATTAACTAATGTAACAATCATTGAAATTTTACGGTTCTTTGGGTCAAAACTAAGCATTATTGGTGAAATAATAGTCAATTCTTTCATTTCAATTCGACAAAAAGACTCATGTAATTCCTACGGTTTAATCCGCAAAGACTTTTTTAGAGAAATCGCCATGGAAGCCAGAGAGAGCTACTACGGCCGTTGTTTTAAACTTTTTATATGAGAATATTAAAAATGATGCTATATTTGTTTTTAAAAGCGCAATGAAATACTATACAGATGAAAGAAAAGAAAAGAGAATACTTAATTATAAACCATTATCGTTTAGCTTGGTTTATCATAACTGGGTTCTCGGCAAATTTTCCGAGGATTCTGAAATTGCTGATATCTTATTTGAAGATATATTGAGAGCCAGAATTAGTATTGAACAAAATCAAAATTCAGAAATTTCCTCAAACATTCATAATGAAATATGTAATTTATATAAAGTTTACTGCAATTCAAAAAATTTCTTTAGAGTTTCTCATCTTAAGCTTTTCATACAAGTAAATCATTCTGATATCCTTGGGCCGCTTTTTGAATATTATTTAGCAGATTTGTTCAACATTAAAATGCCAATGAAAATAATTAATGGAGAAAACAATTATTATAAACCTAAAAAAAGAAAAAGAATAAAAAGAAATGATCGAGAAGAATGGTTCAATGAAATTAAAAACATCTATGAAACCATTCTTAAAAACGGCAATAATGCTGAAATAACACCCGTATTTAAAAATTTCATCGAAAAAATTTATTGCAAACTTGAAGATGCGAATAGCCCATCACAAAAGAAAAATAAATCTCTATAAAGAAATTTTATCACTCGCAAAATAAATTCGCGATGTTCTCTATTCCTCCCTTCTAAACCTTACTATGTGTATGCGATATGCTTGGTAAAAGGTCTATTTTGAGCTCAAAATAATAGAGAAGAAGTAATTTATTAGAGTAAAAATGAAAAAAATCGACATGAAGCGAACAAATTGTCGTTTGCACGTGACTTACATTAGAATTGGTAAAATAATTATGTAACAGTCGGTATCACAAGACAGTTTACCGAAGTAAGAAAATAATTTTACACGAAAAACTATGTAAAAGTATCAGTATGTTCTAAGAGTCAAAGATCGTAAGATAAATTTATGATGTAAAAATATGGTGTCAAAATATAACTATACAAGCAAAGAGAAATTAATAAAATTTGGTGGCTTTTCTTTGATCGAATAATAAATTAAACCATATCCATAATAAAGAGATACTTACCTTTAATTATTAATACGAAAACCTTTTGTTGGTACAACTGTTCACGCTCGTCATTTGAGCAAGGTTTGGTTAGTGATGCCAGTTGGCCAGACCAACTTGATTCTTTGTTTAATACAACATAAAATAGCTATAATAAGAGGGCGAGGCATTGAAAAAAAAACACAAAAATATCAATACTGTAATTTTATTGGTTGATTTTCATACGTTAGTTATATAAAATTTAAAATTTGAAAGGCAAATACCACTAATTCCTATTAATGTGTATTGGGTTCATGTAAATTTTAAAAAATAGAGGGGAGGGGTTATATTAAACAAAGAATTAAATTAGTCTGGCCTTACTAAAAGAAGGTGAGACCAATTTGATTCTGAGTTTACAAAGTAGAGTGGTCGAGCAAAAATTTGGAAAGAGACCCGGAACAGAAAATCGTCTTAGATAATAGAGCAAAAAAAAAATTTTATTTATATAATACATTCAGACCTACTCCACCTCCCTCTCCCAGAGGGTAATGTAAAACACAGAGCCGAGTTAGTCTTGCCTAACTGCGACTATAACGAGAAGTTGGGTCGAAGATACAGTAAAGATAAAGGTGGAGAAATAATTTGCTTTTTACTATTTTCGATTCACTTATAAAGTCACACTCACTGACCTCTTACTATCACTTTTGTTATTTCCAACATTCTAATCAATCACCCCACTGTTACGGGATTTGATCTCGTGACAAATGGATACCTCCCTCCACTCCTTTTACGTTACTATCTATCAAAAAATGTTAATTGTATATAAGATATACACAATTACTTTATATATTTGTATATTGATAATATAAAATATTAAATAATTTCAATCGGCAATTATAAAAACATTTTTTAAACCACTTTTTTTTTAAAAAAAAAATAAATAATAAAGCATATTATGATTTTGGAAGTAAAAACCAACCATTTTTTAGGATGCTATGTAATATCAAAAAATGATTTTTCTAATAAGTACACTCTATCTTCGTTATAACGGAATCCGATATAGCGGATATCTTATTATATTATATAACATAATAACGAATATTCATTTATTATGGATATAATAAATAGTTATTGGATGTGTAGCATCCAATAACAGTTTTATTTGGCAGGAGAAATAAGAATACCGTGATCCGAAGGATCACGGGATAATTATTTTGGATGACAAATAAAAGAAGTATCTGGCTTTGAATTTAATGTGCTAACCTGGGCCCCGAAGGGGCTCAGGTTGTCAAGCACATTAAATTCAAAGCCAGATACGCTGTTATTGGATGCGAAACATCCAATAACGGATTTATTTTTCTTTTTCTGTTATAACGTGAGTTTGTGTGAGTCTATTTGGCGTATAATGTATACTTATACGACCCATGTTTACTATGAAAAGAAAAATAATAAACAAAATCTTTCCGTTATAACAGGGTAGAGTATAATTATATTTTATAAAATCTTTAGAACATAGCGGCAATATACAGCAAAGGGTTGCAGAGATACCAAAATAACACTATTATCAAGAAAAATATTGTAACGATATTGTTGCACAATTTTTATGATATAATTGCGTGAATAAGTAAATTTAATCCGGTTCATTGTATCAATAGTTTCGAAATCAATACAGTCTATAAATAATAAGGGCTTATTAATTTTGTGGAATCCTTTTTTGATAAACAATTGGTATTGTAAAATGTCAAATTTATCAAAAGCTAAAAATTTCGATTGCTCGAATTTTTATTTAATTCCTAATTATAAATAAGAACATCTAAAGTAATTTTATTATGGGATGTTTTGTTTCTAAATTAAGCGAAAAAGCTGAATCTATCGATTCACGGATGGGATTTCGATCGATACTCTGATGGTAGAAGATATCATAATGTAGAAAATGTCTCATATCCTCTACAAAATGATGAGGAAGAATCAGATAGATCCCACTTACAACATTTTTTGATAAGATATAACTGGAAAGTAACTTTTCTACTCCTATCGAACATAATTTTGTCTAAACTGGAATCCAAAATTCTAGATGTTGGGTACGCATATGTTATCGTGAAAATAATAATTTGTCGTGGTAAAGTTTTATGGGGATGCATTTTTCAAATTTTTTAAATACAGATCAAATTTCTTTTAAAAAATCTACAGTATTTAAAATTTAACTCGAACTCTACATAATAATTCCTTGAAGCATTGACAAAAGCGTAATTGATCCATTCAATATATATCATAGTTAGTAGAATATTTGTAAATTAAAATTACACTTTTTTATATTCCATTTTAGGTGTGGCGCAGGGTCATGGTCATTATTGAACCTAGGTGCCGCACAAAAAATGTGCGGCAGATCCTCGAATTTAATTGGCTAACTGCAATAATATCGTGAGCAAATTTTTAGAATAGTCCGAAAACCAACTTTATTATTAACAGATTATTATTACTATTTCATTTTCGAGTAATTATTCATTTTTGATTTATCTTAATTATACCGCATAAATGTCTTCCTATAAGCCACACATTTAGTGACCAATTTGTACCACAACCTGGACTACTATAGGGATTGTTATTGTACAGATGATATTTAAAAAATAACCTTTTCAATATAACTGCATTTTATTAATTGAGAATAGGTATAATTTATTGATCAGTATATGAATTAAAACAAAATATAAATCTTTATTATTGACAAAAAGATAAGAATTAAAAATTTTTAAATGAAAAATAACAAGAGCGGTCCAAATACGGTTGTGCTAGGCATTACTTTTTTTTCGACAATTATGATTTAGAGTTAGATTAGTGTTTGGCAAAGAGTAAACCGATTTTACTAGATAAGTTATTTTAAGTAGGGTTGCATCGGTTCTGAAAAAGACCGGTCCGGACTGGTCCTGGACCGGGACCGATAAGGACCGTTAAAGGACCGGTCCTTGTAAACATAACTGTGATGTTCGTATCACCCAATCAAATTTTTCGATCAGGTGAAACGTAGATCATATGATGTTTGTTTACAACTGACAATTAAGAAATCATTAAAGGACCGGACTGAACTGGACCGTAAGTACAATGATTATGGTCCTCTTAGGGACTGGACGGACCGGACCAACTCCTACAGGGAGATCCCAAAATTCCGGGACGGAAGCTTCGGAACTCTGGTCGGAAGGGCCAGAGTTGATCAATTTTGCCCCAAGATCACTAAGAATTTTACTAATGAAACAATTGTCGTTCATTAAGTGAAAAGTGCCCAGCTGATAATTTTACTATAGCCTATAGCTCACGCTAACCCTAACCAAGCCCTAACCCCGACCCTAACCACGACGTATTCCGGCCATTACGACCCGGAAATTTGGGATCCCCGGACCGTACTGATGCATCCCTAATTTTAAGCATAATATATAATAATAGAAAGTAATGCACAGAAAATTTATATATAAATCGATAAAGTCTTCGCATCTTGCTGGAATGAATGTCTTATATGCATTTGTTCAACTTCAATTTCGAGATTACAGTAGTAAAGAAAAAGCTATGCATTTTATGAATCTTTAAAAATTTTTGTTAAGCCATTCAGCATATTTTTATAGCGTTTTTCTTTATACCTGAATACTCTTTTCTCTTCATTCTTTATATCTTGCAAATATTTGCTGATGCCTGATAAGTTATATAACTGGTTTTCAAGTTCAAATATATCCTCAGAAGTGTATAAAGAGGGTTCATTTTTCTCAATTGTCTTAATAATTTTCACATTTTCTTCATAGTTTCTTTTTATTTCCTCTAGCCCTTCAAGGATTTCATTATTGTATTCATCGGAAGTATCATCAATCTTTCGTTTCTCAGTATGTATTATGTGATTAAGATATTCTACATATGCATCATTAAAAGCAGCTAATGCATTTTGTTTTAAAAAATATGTAAATTTAATTATAGTATTTTCAACCGTTTTTTGATGCTCTTTTAACCGATCGATCGTTTCTTGAAGCTTTTTTATATGGTTTTGAATGTCAATTTGATCTAATTTATTTTCCGATATTTTATCTTCTATATTTTTATCAATTTTAAATATACGATTAGATACTTTTTTACAAAAAATTATTTTATGATTTTTTGCATGACAGCCACAAGATTTACACACTCCAAACTTCATAACTCCATTATGCTTCTGCATAAATGTGTTCAACCATTTCCATTTAATATGGCAATTTTCATGAGTAACTGATATTTGGCAAGTGCGTTTTGTGCATACAACTTTGGGTCGTTTCATTTTTTTCACCTCAAGCTCTATATGTGGAATGTACAACTTCTTTCTGAGTTCCTCTTCAGTTAAGTCAGCTTTTTCTATTTCTTCTTTTAGCTTTTTAACTTCCGCAATGTTTTCTAGGATATTATGATTTATCTTTGCGAGAGGTTCGCAAAGGGTCATTATTGTTTGCCTAGCATTATTGAGCGATATAGTATCAATTATTTTATGAGGTTCACAGTTTTTAATGTGTTGAAGGAGTCTCGCTGATTCCTTCGCAGATTTTTTCCAACTCTCTGTGAAGCCTTTCTTTTCATCATTTGTAAATTTCATTCCTTTCTTATTTGCTGCTAGAAATCTAAATGGCTCACTATCAAAACAATATATTGTTTCTTTATTAATTGGTATATTAATACCCGATTTTTTTTCAAGTCCTTGGAGTTCTGCCTTAAGCAATGATAATGTTTCTCCTGGACGAAAGGACGTTCCTCTGGTGTTAGTGAAACAGAAGACAATATTATCTTTAGCATTTTTATGTAGATGTGATAATAATTCTTGTATGCAAAATTTAAATGTTACATTAATGCGTGAATCGTTAGATTTGAAGAGTATGCAGATCCCATTCAGATGGTTGTGATGACTTATATTTTTTAAGATATTTTCAAAATTTATTTCATTATATTCAATTCCTCTAGTATCTCCTATCCCAGGTGTATCAATTAATCTTATAACTTTATTTTCAGCTACCGGAAACACGTAGACACCACATTCTTTAGTGCATGACTCTCCTACACTATCCATCGCGTCATTTTCGTTTTCATAATCATCATAATCGTCTTCATCGTCGTCATAATCGTCTTCTTCGTCGTAATTATCATTTTCATCGTCGTAATTATCGTCTTTTTCACTAAATACCGTTATCGTTTTTGTTTCTAAGTCCTCGGTTGTCATCGTAAATGTGGATGTAATTAACACATCTATCTCACCAGCAATTGCATTTTTTAAACTATTAAATTTAAAATAATTTGCAAAAGAGTTTATAAATGTGGATTTTCCTACACCAGTTTCACCGAGTAATAATATATTTATTTCTTCTCGTTGATGTGTTAACTGTTGTGGCTGCGACTTTGGTTGATGTTGTATCGTTAGATTATAATTATAAGTGACGTTGCCAATATGTGAAAAACGCTTGATATCTCTTCGAATATTGTCGAGTTTATTGGTTAAATTTTCTATTCCACTATTATCCTAGAATCGGAAAGAATATAGTAGTGATCAACTAAAAGCTTTTAAGATTAATACGTATACAAAATTTAAATATATATTTACACGTCCTATTTTATTGCTATTAAGATAATTCATGATTTCTTTCAAAGTTTCAGAACAATCTTTTATTGCATACTTAAGAGAGGAGGAATGATCATTGTAATTTTTAAGATCATTGAGTGTTTTTTCTAGACTATTCATCTTCTCCTCCAATTCCTGAAACTCCTTTTTTTTTTTATCTTTATTATTAGATTGAAGCCATTGAAAAATATAATTGACCAATTTTATTGCTGGTCCAATGAGCGCTACTAATTCCATTCCGTATGCGAGTTTCTTAATACACCGACTCTTGATATAAAAATGTCACCAGATCTAACCAAAATCTTTTTTATATAGAGATTATCTTATATAAAAGATTTTATTATAAAATTTTTTAATTAGGACTAATAAAATTTTTTATATCAAGAAGGCTGAGACAGTATCACAATAAATTTTGTAAGAGTTCAATTACATTAAATAAGTTCTTTAATCTGTTTTTTATTCACTTTTACGTGGATGCTCTCGGGTTTTATATTTGATTAGTTGTTACACACAAAGTAAGAAAGAAAAATAGGATAGTTTACAAGAAATATAGAAAATTCTTATCTAGAAACGAAATAATTTCAGATCCTTAACAATAAGAGGACATATCACGCAAAACTGTACTGCAATAAACAAATGAGGCTCAAAATATAATTTTTGAATAATTGTACGCACGTACGTACTGTACGTACGTAAGTACGTATTATAATTGAACCGGAACGTAAAATCCTATGCATGGTGATACGAAAATTATGCTTTTGATGCATTTCGACGAGAATGGCTGCTTTCTTTCTTAAATTGGAAATTTACAAAATGATACTTCGGATTAGAAACCCCGTACCTTGTCATTGTGAAACCGGAAACAGCAAATACGTGACCCCGGGAACTCCAAATCCAGACTTACCAACCCAGCCAGAAACTCTAAAAAGAAATTATAGCAGATCAGGTGAGCAGACCAGTATAGAACAGGCCAATTTTTCAAAATTACAAGCACAACAGGTGGCGCTTACGCGTCACCTTCCTATTGTGGTGGCATATAGTATAAATTGAAATTATCATAATTTTACTGTAAAATTTGTGTTTATATAACAAATAAAATTATTACAAAACTTACCACTATTATGGTGACACATTATGTAGTAAGGTTGTGTTGGTTTGTATTGAAATTAGCACAAACTCTATTATATACTGTACTACTGTAAAAAATACTGGTATAAACTTGTTATTCTGTTAACACACAGAATTGGTTAAAGTTAGGTTTGCATCGAAAAAATCATGATTTCTATTTTGAGTTACTATAAAAAATTCTAGAAATTACGGAACTTATGTGCTTGAGTTGTATTGTGTATTACTATAAGAAATTCTGTGCGACACACATTTCATAATATTTATCATCGCATGACCAATATCTTATAAGTGTTTGGTTGAGGTTGAAGTATTTTGCATTGTAAGTTACCATAAAAATTTGGTATAGAACTTACTCGACTTAATTTCGATAACACACAGTGTACAATTATTAATAATATAGCATTGTATTTGAAATTGTGATTTTTCTAAAAATTGCTAATACTCAACAAATATTGTAATTTCGAATACAATGATTAACTAGGTAAATCTTATTCATAATTAAATATATGAGTACTGTATTAGCTTTAAAAATCCAGTATATTGAAGGTTTATTACTAAAATTTACTATTTAAAAAGTATTTCAAATGGGCCGGTTTTGAGCCTAACTTCATTTTTTAGTTTTTATATTGAGAATTCATATAATGAATGATTTGCATCATTGGATATTATAACACAATTTTGTGTATCAAAATATTAGAATAAAAATTTATGTATAATAGATGATTCTATAGCAAATCAGTGTAGTTTTTTTTTGCTACTGTTTATTGTAGTAATAGTTACTGTAAAAATTTTGCTATTGCGGTATATAGTTGAGTTAGTTTGTATTGGAATTAGCAGTTGTGATTTATTGTAAAAAAAGTTAACACAAACTTACTTGATATCATGACATCCAATATTTGGTTATGTTGTGAATTCTACCATGATTACTATAAAAAAATTTGTTGAAAAACATATCAACACACAATATGTGATTAAGTTTTGTTATGTAATTTGAATTGGTATTATTGCAATTTATTATTTATAGTAAATCACGACAGAAATCAAAAGCGAACTAACTTAATAGGTTACTGGAATAGCAAGTAAGTTATGTAATAGAATTTTTTAAATAATTAATGATAGAAATTATGAAAATTTCAATAAAAATCAACACATTTTAACTACATATTATAGTTACTAGAATAATAAGTAAGCCCTGTAATAAAATTATTTGCAGAGGTTACGATAGAAATCACGACAATTTCAACGAGTAACTTATTTTAACCACATATTGTAGTTACTGAAATAACGACATTTCAACGGGAGTAACTTATTTTAACCACATATTGTAGTTACTGAAATAACGACAATTTCAATGAGAGTAACTTATTTTAACCACATATTGTAGTTACTGAAATAACGACAATTTCAATGAGAGTAACTTATTTTACCACATATTTAGAGATGGAAAATGCGCATTTTATAATAACATGCGCATGAATGCGCATTAATGCGCACGCTATATAAAATGCGCATGATATCGCA